GTTTCCCTAGGACCAAAATAGATGGACAGCCTAACAAAGTCCTAGTTGTTATATAACCCCAATAATTTTCTACTCTGGAAAACGGAGGCCTGATCTTATCCTTAAAAATGTGGCATTCCAGCCTCTTCCCCAGCTCATAGACCAGAGTCCCTTGAATGAAGGGGAGGGTCCATTCAAAGAAGGACCTTGCTACACTTCACACATGTGTATGGTGAAATCTCCCTCCTTGCTTTCCTCACAGAGACCTGCAGCCACAGTCATTGTACACTGGGGACAGGGAAATATTCAGGCCTTTTGAAAGACACTGGATGTTGGTTCAGAATTAATGTTAATCTCTGGTGAACCAGATTGCCACTGTGGCCCATCAGTCAGACTGGGATGGGGTTATACATGAAGTTTTGATCTGAGTCTTTCTTACACTGGGCCCAGGAGAAATCCTGTGGTGATTTCTCCTGTTCTGGATATACTGTTGGAATCTACACAGTATAGATGGCATAAAGGGGAGGAGTACTACAGCTGAAGAGCAAGTTAAAGACTCAAGAAATGGGGGATACAATTGGAGGTAGAAATATTGTGATAACAGAAGTTCCAGAAGCAGAGAAAGATAAAAACGGAAAAGTGGATCTACATTGTGAATGAATGCCTGAGTACAGGACTCCAAGTGACCTGGGGAAGCTGAGCTCCCCATTGAGAGCTGTGTGTTAACACTACCATCGAGCCATGAAGTTATCTATGTGCAGTAGCACTCTGCCACTGAATAGAATCGAGTTATACAAACAGGCCTAGGAGATGAATAAGCTGCCTGAGCAGGCGAATAATACTCCCATCTGCTGTACTGCCATCCCTCTCTTGCCCACACTTGAGGCCTCATGGGGAATTCCCTGTGACTAGGTGACTAGGGGATATCCAGCTTGGTTTACACATGACCCTGCATGATATGCTGGCCCTGCTGGAAGTAGCTAACTGTAGTGTTACAGCCCCACTTAGGGCTGATCCTGAAGGGACAGTGAGAAGGGAAATTCTCACAGTAGGACAACTGCCAGGTCACATAGTTGGTCGGAGGTATAGATAGGTTTCCACTGTTTCATGAGTAGTTAATGATTCAGCTAAATGATGAACTTGGAAATAACAGGACTGAAATATTATTGATGAGGTCTGAGGAAGAGCATATGGATGTCCCTCTTGGAATAGGCAGATATTCATGTCCCACATAAATGAGCACCAGAGTCCACTGCAGAAGAGGACCTCAATCAAGTAGACAGGTAGGTGTCCTGTTCTGTGCTGTTAGTCAGTCTCTGTCTCTCACCCTTTTCTTTGCCCAATGGATTCCTGAACAAAATGGCCATGGTGGCAGGCATGGAGGTTATGCATGGGCTCCACAATATGGACTTCCATCAAGACCAATCTGGCTATAAGCCACTGCTGAGTGCCCAACCTGCCAACAGAAGAGAAACCCAAGCCCCTCTATGGAACTATTCCTTGGTGGCAGCTGATTACAGACAGGATAAAATGAAAAAAAGCCACTGGACCCCCAAAATTCTACTGGCAGGAAGCAGACTGGGGAAACTTCAGCTGCAAACATGCGCTGCCTTTCTTGAAAAAGGCAGGCACAGAGGGTAGAACGAAAAGGTCAGAGGGCAGAGCCTTAGAATACTATTCCCAGGCCTTGAAATCTAATCAGGAAACTTCCATTTTCCCAGCTGGATTTCAGAATTATTATAGACCAGTGACTCATTTATGTCTCCCATTTCCCCTCTTTTTGAACCAGAGTATCTGTAGTAGTTGTCCTATGGCTATTCCACCATTGTATGTTGGATGTGTTGGGGAGAGATAACTTGCCTCTTAAGTCTCACAAATCGGCTGGGCATGGTGGCTCACACCTGTAATCCCAGCACTTTGGGAGGCCAAGGTGGAAGGACTGTTTGAGCCCAGGAGTTTGAGACCAGGCTGGGCAATATAGTAATATCTTATCTCTATAACAAAACAAAAACAATTTTTTTTACAAAATATAGTTGTCTCACAAATCTAAAGATGGAGAAAAAAGTAGTTAAGAAGCCATATGCAAAGAGTCTCTTTCATATATGGACCTGATTTAGATGACATTCTGGATTTCAGGGCAATGCTATAATTGGATGAGACTTTTAGAGACTTTGGGAAGAGGGTGAATGTATTCTGCATGTGTAAGTAACATGAATCACCAGGACCAGTGGAAAAACTATAGTAGTCAATCTCCAAGATGACCCCAAACGACACCCCCCCCACACACACACACCGCCTCCTGGTATTCACACCTTTGTATAATCCCCTCGAGTGTGGCCTGGACCTAGTAACTGACTTACTTCTAACAAATAGAATATTGCAAAAAGTGATGGGATGTCACATCTGAGATTAGGTCATAAAGACTAAGAGTCCTGTCTGGCACGTGGGCACTCTCCTATCTCTAGCTCATCTTGATTGCTCTGCTGAAGCAAGCCACCATGTTGTGAGCCGCCCTATGAAAAGGTACACATGGCAAGGAACACATGAGAGTTATCCCCAGCCAACAGCCAGCAAGAAACTGAATCCTGCCAACAGCCACGTGAGTAAGCTTGAAAGCGGATCCTTCCCCAGTCGAGCCTTGAGATAACTGCAGCCCCAGCTCACACCTTGCAGGCTGTGAGACCCCGAAATAAAAACTAGAAACTCAGCTAAGTTGTGTACAGATTCCTAACTCACAGGGATGAGAGATAAAATGTTGTTTTAAGCCACTGGGTTTTTGAGGTAATTTGTTATGTAGCAAATATGTAACCAATACAGATGGGCATGGAGGTTATGCACCTTGACAATATTAACTTCTATCTACCAAGGCCACTGTGGCCCTAGCACTGCTGAATTCCCAACCTATCAACAACAGCACAGATCAACACTGAGGTCCCATTGTGAACTATTTCCTGATGGCAGGCTGATTACTTTGGACACCTGTCTAGCACAGGCCTGAGGGTCACAGATTTGGTGAAAATTCCAGCTCTGCCAGGCTGATATACCTAGGTGAAGTCTGTTCCTCTAGGGGTCTGTTTCTGCTGGGGAGTTTGTGAAATATCTCACATGAAGCTGAGCACCCAGGTGGAGGTTTACAAGGGGGTGTTCCCCTCCCTTTCATGTGAGTGCCCGGGGGCAAGACCCCTGTCCATCTGCTTCCTAACCCCTCTTCTCCTATCACAATTTCAGGTCTTCTGGGAAGCATGGTTAGTGCCTGCCCTTTCAAGGACCCACTGACCATGTACCTCAGGCCCCAGGTACCACTCCTAAGGGTTGGAATCCTGTATCACTGGACTCTGCAATGTAAAGGAAAGAGTTCATATGCACAGTGTGGGGCTCCAACTGATTCTCTTAACTCTTTCTAAAACTAGACTGCAGGCCCTTGGCCTGGAAGTGGAGACAGACTGAGGCCTGGGCCTTGCCTTCCCTCCAGAAGCTCCAGAGCTTGGGGTGGGAGGAGAGACAGACCTATTAGAGTATTTCTGACACCATGTAAGGCACAGGTGGAGGCACTAAGGAGAAGGTGAAGAAGGGGTCAGTTGGGCCTGAAGGAAGGGTTTGGGTAAAGTCCTTAATAGAAGTGATGTCTCTTCCCATCCCCTTGTCACCTGCAGATTCAGCAGCCATCCTGAGGGATGTGGCAACATTTGGGAGGACTTGGCAGCTAGGTGATGTTCTGTTTAATAAAAAATTACTTTGAGGTGAGAAGATATCCACTGCTTCCCTGACCTCATTCTCCCCATCCCCTTATCTGAGGGGGAGGGGGTCCCCTGAGCCAGTCCCCCTCCCTTTCTAGGGGAACGTCTGGGAAAGAGGGCAGATCTGGAACCACAGAAAGCTCTCTGGAAGGGTAGATTTGATCTGGTTCTTGCAGGATGATGGCCAGGGACTCTCCTGCAGAGTTTATGGGATGTACGTCTGCTGTGAAGGAAAGTGTGTGAGGGATGGGACAGGGACATGCCAAGATGGGAAAGGCTCTCTGAAAACCAGTGAGGGATGGGCCCATACCTGGGAGAACCCCCGTCCTGGGCCAAGCAGTTCTCTAACAACCTGGGAGTTGGTTCAGGTTGAAGGCTCCATCTCTTCCTCTCCTGTCTGGCCACTTCTTCCTGTGGCTGCCTTGGAAGTGGTAGTTAAGTGCTGAGATTGAGCCCCTTCCTACCCATTCCAGCTCTCACTCACCTCTCCTGTCAGCTCCTCCAACCCTCTTTTTACGTTCAATTTCAGAGAGGTGGGCAGCCAAAAGGTCAGCCTCTTCCCCTGGACTGAGGCCTGGAGTCAAACTGGACCCAACAGGGTTGTCCATGGGCTCCTGTCTCTCCTTACTTGTATAATGTATAGCCCAGGGTCCCAACAGGAAGACCAGATGAAGCAGGGCTGAGCCAGACCCTTTCACCAATCAAAGCTGCTGCTAGAAGAGGGTGGGCTTTCTTATTTACCACTAGGTTCCTATCAACTGCAAATATGGGAAGGAGGAATGAAACCCATGAAATTTCAGATGAGAAAGCAAAATAAGGGTGGCAGTGTGCTAAGCTCCTGGGCTAGAGATCAGGACCCAGTCTTTAGCCTTCAGCCTCCTCACAGCCCCTTGAGAGGAGGGAAAGCCCTTGAGGCAGGAATGATGGGAAGCTGACTGGTTTAGTAGGGGTTCCATGCTCTTGCTTCCTCCTTTGTATCCTCATATCATGGGCAGACTCCAAACACAGAACACTCAAGACCACAAAGAATGGTTCTTAGCCTTTGGAGGGTCAAGGATCCCTTTATGAATCTGATACAAGCTGGTTAGTCTTCTTGTCAGAAAAACACATGCATGCAAACACCCACAAAAACATGTAAACAATCTGTTGACAGTCCCTGATTTAGTCCAGCACCCTTATCTTAAAGACTTTGGGACCCAGAACGGAGATCTTTTCAACTACTATGGGATCATTAATGGGCTTGAAACTACTATGCTAAGTTGAAAGAAGCCAGACACAAAGGAACACATATTATACGATTCCATTTATGTAAAATGTCCAGAATAGGCAAATGGGATGAGGGGTAAAGGATGACTAAGGGATATGGAGTTTCTTTTTTGCAATGATGAAAATGTTCTAAAATTTTTTTTGCAATGATTGCTGCACAACTCTAAATATACTAAAAGCTATTTAATTGTACACTTTTAAGTGGGTGAACTGTATGATATGTACATTACATCTCAATAAGCTGTCTTAAAAAAGTGAACTCAGGGGTTTCAAATGACCACACATCTGAGCTTTAGTCCCCATTCATCAGGGGCATAAAGAACCTGTGGAGAAAAATCAGGGAATTATGCAGTATACGGGTTAGACAAGAAAACATTCTAGAAAGAACGAGATTCTATGTATAATCTTAAGGGCAATAAAGCATCATGGAAGGTTTTAAGCAGTATATAACCAGATCTACACTTCAGAAACCCAAATCACTGAACTGTACATTTCAAACAAGTGAATTTTATGGTATGTAAATTATATCTCAATAAAGCCATTTAAAAAAAAATCCCTTTGGGAGCTTGAGGAGGATAAACTGGAGGGCATCAACTGGGGGAGGCTGTGGTGTAGGAGTCAGGATGAGGGGGCCAGAGCCTATCTGTTTGGACTTGAGGGAAAGTGGCTTGGGGGTAGAGTTGGGGGAGGATCAGGATGTCCTGCCCAAGGTTAAGAAGCTGGTGGAACTTGATTTCAGAACCCAGAGCTTCTTGGCTTTAGCCCGAGTGTTCCTGCTAGCACTATAGCTGCTCCACTGACTGGTGAGGGAAGCATTGTCCTCCCCACCTGAGAGAAATGCACTTCAGAAACATGTTTCCAAAAAATGTTTCTAAGGGTTTTATTTCTAACAAGAGGAAAATAATAAAATAAAATTAAAATAGGCTTCAGTTGGAACCAAGTTTCTTGTTTTGCTTTTTCTTTTGAACAAATTAATTACACACCAACAATCTTCTTTTATTACAACATGAACCCAGGAGGAGGAAAGGAGACAGGGAAGGACAGGGAGGGAGGATTGAGGTGGTTGTGAGGACAAGCACCAAAAGCTTTCTTCAGATCACAGGGAGCCCTGTTCAGCTCACCAGCCAAATTCCTTTAAAATAAAAAACTGTGAGCACAACTATGTGAAGTTTCCTCCTCCTGGGTGGAACGGTCAGGGGAAGGGAGAGGGAGAAGAGGGTAGGAAGGAAAAGAGGGGAGGAGAGTGGGGGCAGGGGTTAGTGTAGCATGGCCTGGTCAGGACCAGAACTGGGGAGAGAAGGGAGAGGAGAGTCCCCCAGTTCGCATATGCACTGGCCTTGTCTCTGGAATGGTGCTGGCCCAGCCCCAGCCACCCTCCCCCCAACCCCCGCCCACCAGCCCATCCATCTATCTGCCTCAAGTGTCTAGGAATGCTGGTTAGAGGCTACAAGGGAGGGAGGACTCCAGGGGCCGGCCCCCAGGAGCTGAGGTCTGAACAATACCTTGGAGTCAGAATACAAAAGTCAAGGGACTCAGGGATGAGTGGGTAGGGGGATGGCGACCCCCCTACCCACCCACCCCTCAAGAAGCAGGCTTGATGGTCACAAAGAGGATCCTTGAGGCCGAGGGGGGTCTCTGTCAGGGTCTGTGCTAGGCTCAGCCACTGTCACAACTGTTGCTGAGGCGGCTGCTGTGGGCAGGGCAGATGCAGCCGGGGAGTCAGAGTGGAGAAAGGGGCTGAGGGGCCTGAAGTGGTCCCTTGCGCCGGTTCCAAGCCATTCTGGTTCTCCTGGGTGCTGGGGCTGCCACTGGTGGGGATGGGTGCAGGGGGGCCCTCACCCCCAGTCTCCTCCTCCAGCTCTTCCTCCTCCTGGGCCTCCTCGGCCTCTGGCCCTGAGCTCCGTACCCTCTTTGGCTCTAGCTCCTCTCGGGCTGGGTCATCGCCCTCCCCACCCCGATCCACCTTCCGCCGCCGCCGCCTCTCCAGGGCCCGGCCCCGAGCCCGACTCCCGTGACGCTCTGCCTTCTCCAGCTGTGATTACAGATAGGCAGAAAGACAGGTTGTGGGCCAGTGGTCAGGCCTGGGCTCCCTACTCGGTCTGACCTCCTGGCCCGGCCCATGACCCCTCTCCTCACCTCCAGAAGTGTGCGGATCCTCTCCAGGTCTGGGGGCTGTCCAGCCTGCAGCAGCTGCCAGATGCTGTGGTTCTCATCCAAGGTTACCTCGAGCAGGTCCCCTTCCATCATGAGCTCCTCCAGGGGCACCCGGGTTGTCTCAGGCAGCTCCAACACAGGGCCGGTCAACTGCGGCAACATTGAGGACAGTAGCTCCAGGTCTGGGCGGAGGGTGGGGTGGGGGTGCAGGGACAGACTGGGTTAGAGGCCACTCTTTGTCCTATCCTCCACGGCCACAACAAAGCTGACAAAAACACGGGTCACTCGGCGATGTGTAGCCAACAGCCTACCCAAACCATACCTGTGTTATCAGAGCCCTTTGCTGAAGCTTTGTTCTCAGGACTGGTCAAACCATCTCCATTCTCCAGCAGCCCTTGGACCTATCCGGGAAATGAAGAATAATTGAGCTGATGAACCAAGTCCTGTCTTTTCTTTCACAACCCCCAAACTTGGGAGCCTCTATCTCCTGAAGGAAAGTCAACACAGGCTTCCAGCAGGGAGCAGACTCTAGGGATCTGGTCGGGTACAGAATGGGACAAAGAGGCTGGGCCACAGGAGACTGAAAACTGGAGAACTGGGACAACGCTGGATCGAGCCAAAAGAAGGACAGGGGCTAGATGTCAGAAATGTGAGGACAGTGGGTGGCCTGGACAGCTCACCTGGGAAATAGTGTTGCCACTGCCTTCTCTGATAGGGTCACACGCAATGTCTGAAGTGTAAGCAGGGGCCTCCTCTGGCCTGGGTTTGGCCTCTAGCTGTTGGCGAAACTCAGCCAGCTGTCGCAACAGAGTGGTCACATCCTCAGAGGCCAGAGCCTTTCTGGCACGGTCTTGCCAGCCAATGGCCCTCTCTGTGAGACACTGAAGAGCCTCACCCTCAGGCAGCCGGACGGGCAGTCTCTGCAGGGCAACCAGCAAGGCTAGGATTGTCTCTAGGCGTGGCCGTCGGGAGCGCATACACAGTGGACACAGGAATTTGGTGTCCCATTCCCACCAGGCCAGCAGTGGGGATGAGGTGGGATTGGGCCTTGGAGAGCTGAGAAGGCGGGGCACTGACACACACCGCCCATGGAACCAGTCCTGACACAGGTCACACTGCAGAGCTCCCGCCCCGGCTGGCACCTGCCCACACACACAGATAGAGGTTGTAGAGGAGGCTGTGGTCGATGATGCCAGTGGACTAGGCTTGGCCGAATTGGTGCGACGCAGCTGCAGGATACCCTCCTTCTCCTTCTGTTCCCCCTCCTTGAAGGCCACAATCTGTCATACCCAGGACAGGAGCAGAGTGGGTCAGCAGCCTATCCCTTCCCTTCTCTGGCCCCTTGTAACACCCCACTCCCAAACCAGGAGAAGTGAGGCTCAGGAAGCAAGCGGTCTGCTCATGGTCACCCAGCTCAGACACTATCACCACCAAGCTCTTCTCTCCATCTGTATCTAAGCTCCTTACCACAGAGCCAGGGTCCCTGAGGTCCTGCGCAGACAGCCCCAGCAGCTCTGTGTCAGATTTGTACAACCCCAGCTCCTTCTCCATCCACCGGCTGCGCTTGGTGCTGTCCGAGCCAGCATCTGCACACGGGCAGAGCACCTGAGGCAGGCAGACAGAGGGGATGACTGGGCTTCCCTTACATCCCACGCCCTCTCCTTCCCTCCCTGGTGCCCTCACAAAACCCATGTTATCTCATGAGCCATCTCATAGCAGCCAGGGCAGGTGTAAGAGATGCGGTAGGTCAAGGTCCCAGGCCTCACCTCCAGCAGTGTGTAGCAAGAATTCTTCTTGAGGAAGGTCTTGGAGGCCTTCTCTCTCCAGGAATGTGCTGTTAATACCTGCAGCTCTAGATTTCTCAGCTCTTCGAGCCCCACAGGCAGGTCCCGGCCCACAGCCACCAGGCCCTCCAAGTCATCCAGGCAGGGGTAGTGGTCACCATTCTAGGGACAAGGGCAAGAGACAGCTCAGTTCAACTTGCCAATGCTACTGATGCTTACTCTGTGCCTGGCCGTGAGCTGGAAACATGAACTGGGCTCAGTCTTGAGGTAGAAAAAAACAGGCGTCATCCTAAGGAACACCCACTTAACTCTCTCTCACAACTCGGGCATCTACTGACTGGCTCAGCCCCAAGTATCCAGTCAGCCTTCTGTTGTGGTTTGCCTCCTCTCTCCGCCACGCCCCTGCCCTGCTCACTCCCATACCACCTGTTTCCCTGGCCCACCATTCTCATCCCAACCATTGCCCTCTCTTCCTTCAGGCCAGCCTCACACTCTTCCTCTCACCCTGCTCATCAGGCACATTTTGCCTCCTGACTACATGCCATGCCCATTACTCTCTCCAGCCAACCCAACCCATCCCAGCAACCCAGCACATCCCAGTATATATGCCATCTCTTCCCAGCTGGACTGAAGGCCTGGGGTGGAAGATGGGGGTGGCAGGGTCCTCACTTGGATCTCATCCACATCAGCAATCCAGGCCCGGGCCTTAGCAAGAGCCTCCTTGAGAGCCTGGATGTTGGGCAGGTGAACAGGGATGTTTTCCGCTTCACGGATTATGGCCTCAAGTGTGGCTGGTGGATGCTTCTGCCTAAAGGTAGGAAAAACAAAGAAACTCAGTCTGATGTGGTCTGCCTGACCAGAAGCCCAGACTGCCCACCAGATATAACTGCATGGGCCCCTTGGGTGTTTGTTATTCCTGCTGCCACTTGGGCCTACTTGCTTGTATTCCACCTAAGGGTAGCTGCCAGTCCCTGCTTCGCCAAGATTGCATGCGCCCAACTTCATCCTTCTGCCATTGCTCTTGTGCCTCTGCTTGTCTGCCAGTCTGCTGGCCTGCTGGCAATGCCTACATATACAACCTGTGTTGTGTAATCTGTTGCTGCAGTTTGTCAAATGCCCTGTGTGGGATCTTTCTACTAACATCTGCCCATCTGCCTATCACTTGTGCTTCTGGGTATGGGCACATGAGCCTGCAGGACTAGTCCTCTACATACTATCTGTCCATTTCTGCTTCTCCATCAGCCTCTCTCTGCCTTTAAGTATACAGAGATTGTTTTGTTTTGTTTTTAAAGACAAAATGACAAGATAGGAAACAAAAGGGGGAAGGAGAGTCAATATGGCAACACAGGAGCATGATACCTAGGCCGCCCATGGGAATCATCTTCTGGGTCTCCATTCAACTTTGATGTTTGGAATAGGGCAGGGAAGAAGCAGCTGGACCTACCTGGCCTCCAGGCAGAGGTCGGCTTTCTCCTCCCAGCGTTCAGCAATGGTCAGCAGCTCCTGCAGCTCAGCCTGGGCTTTATCCACAGCAGGGCTAGGGGCTACACTGGCACCCGCGACCAACAGTCCTCGCATGACAGCCAAGGTGCCCCTTCGGGCTGAGGGGGCCAGTGTGCGTTTCACCTCATCCAGCCATTGTGCCTGGTCCACCTGCCGCTGGAGCTGCTGGGCCTCAGGAACCTCCACCCCTAGCTGCCGCCCCCTCTCCAACAGGGACTGCAGTAGCCCTGGACTGGAGGGCTGTGAGGCCAGGGCCTCACGAGCCTCAGCCTGGTAGGCCTCCACCTGTTCCAGAACACCCTACCAGAACATAGGATGAAGAACAAACTCCTTAGCTGGGCCCACTGAGGGGTCCCACCACCAGATACCCTTGTCCCATTTACCTTCTTGCCCTCCAAGCTTTTGGGGCAAACGAGCCTAACATTGGCTGGGCTCTCCTTCTCCAAGCCCTAAGACAGTGGGGTTCCCAACACTGACTGCTCATTAGAATGCCCTGGGGAATTTGTTAAGAATGCAGATTCCTGGGCCCCACCCCTAGAGATTCTTAATAATTATGAATCTATGCTTTACTTATCTCCCAGAGGGCAGAGAACCAAGAGACCTCTGTGCCCTAAAAATTGCTATGCTTAGTCCTCACACAGACCCTCATGCTCACCACCCTGGGATCTGTTGCCCTCTCCATCTCATTCCTCCTCCACTTTCATGAATTTCACTCCACTTTCCAAGCCCAACAAGCACCCTTGTTACCTCCTTCTCCTCTACCCCTCCTCGAGGAAACCTTACCTGGACTCCTGACCCTCAAGTCCCATTTCTAACAGGCAGTCACTAGCCCCTTGCCTTACCCTCCCATCTGTTCTTTTCTCAAACATGAGTCCTGTCTCGCCTGAACACTTCAGGCTTTTGAAAGGAGCCAAGAGTGGCCTGCTGCTCAGGTCCCCAGTCACCCTGATCCCTCAGCAGCACTCCAAGCGTCCTCACCTTGACATCCCCAATCTGGTGCATGGCACAAGGCAGGTTGTTCATCTGGTCCAGAAAGGCCTGGAGCTCAGCCAGGGTCATCTGTAGACCAGCCACCCTGTGGGGGCTATGGAGTTTCACATGTGAGGTTTCAGGTCCAAACCCAGTGCCCTCCCTCCATGTATATGCTAAGACCCAACACCTTTCCTCACCACACCTGTCCACCTTGATCTTGCATATTTCAAATTTGCCCCAACTGCCCGGGTTAGAGGGAAGGTTTTAAATTACAGAGCGTGTTCATATTATGAGGGGAAAGAATTAGAAGAGAGGGAAATAAATTTCTGGTGAGGAGAGAGGGAACTTAGAAACTAATGGGTCATAACAAGAGCTGTACTATGCAATCCATCCTCTACTGTGAACTCTAGCTGTGCAGCAGAGATCAGGTTTATACATCTGTGTCCTGTTCTTACCTGTAAGCCTCCCACTACTCTTCCCTGCCCATAAAGCCCCTCAGCCTCTCTTTCAGACCTCTTCCAGGTACTGATAAAAAATAAACACGTCTAGCTTTCTAACACAGAGGCTCTCCTCTCCATTCTAGGTGGCCTGGTCTCCTTGCCCTCCCTAACACCTTCCAGGCCATCTCACACTCATCCCTGGCAGCTTCCTGCTGATGTCCAGTCTGTCAAATGGTATCCACAGTCTACCCCTTGCAGTACTTTTCCTAGGTGCTGGATCCTGAGCACCTCATGTGTGCCCCAACTCCTCATGCTGCCATACCCAGCTTCCTGGCCGCTGACCAGTCCCAGAGCTCGGGACACACAAGCCTCTGCCTCACTCAGGCAGTTCTTTAGTCGCTGCAGCAGCTCACTATTAGGAAACCTCCGTTCACGGGCTTCAGACTCTAGTGCCCTCAGTTCTTCAAGGCCTGGAAGAAGAATGAGGGCACCAAGGAGTAGGCAGCATTGAATAAAGGCGGAGGAAGGGGGTTGGAGTACAGAAGGGAACAGAACTTGCCTGTGGAGTCCCTCCATCCCCCCATCACTCACTGCGCTTCCGCCCATCCTCCACCTCCAGGGCCACTCGCACTTTGTTGGCCCAGGTGTCAAAGGACTCAGCCCGAACCTTCAGCTTATGCAGCATGGCAGGAAGCTCATCCAAGGTATACCGATACCTGGAGGAAGAGGGCAGGCAAGAGCATGTCTGGCCCAGCTCTGCATCCTCCTTCTTGCCTCACTTCCTCCAGAAAGGCCCATGCTCACCGCAGGTACTGCCGGCTACTGGAGCACTTGCAGAGATCATTGATGTGGGAAAGGCAGACAAGGCCGTCTGGGCAGTCGTAGCAGGCCAGGGCTGACAGGAAACACGTAGTCTTGCACTTGATGCACTGGCGTTCATCATCTGGGAGCAGCTCAAAAGCCTCTCGCTCAGCCTCTGTGATGCCCTAAGGGCATTCAATCCATATGTTATATATAACCAGAACCAGGTAGCAGAATCCTCCATCTCAGCCACCACTGACCCCTACTTTAGACTCAAATCTATGCTGAGGGTCATGGGGTTTAAGAGGCGAAAACCCATGGAGCATACCTGCCCTTTGTAAAGTCCAGACTCTCAAAGCTGAGGGAATCAGATAAACCAGGGAAAGATCAGTGTAAGCTGAATCAGATAATTTTATAGAGGAAGAAAAATCAGGTGAGATCCAAATCAGCAGAAAGTGGGTGAGAAGTGAGGAAAATTGTGGACCAAGATAACAGAGAGGTGGCAATGTGTGGAAGTGGCCAAGGGACAGGCCTGGCTAGTTATGGAGGATGTGTACTGGGGAACAATATTGGCTTCCAGTTACTCAGAGCCCACTGTGTTCCAGGCACGGCTCTGGCCACTTAGTAGGCAAGAGATACTTGTGTACATATATAACTTAGAGAAATTCAACAGTATGTGCCTGTGTTCAGGGTTTAAAGGGGTATAATAATTTCCTCCCAACAATATGGCTTCTAAACCTAATCCAATGACTTCAACTGCTGTTCAGATAAAGAAAAAGCAATCCATTTCAAAAATGAAGGAAAAGCTGGCTATGTCAGAAGACAACCCAGTGCTTTTATCTAATTGTCAATTTTAGGGATTTTGATGGGAAATGTTGACTCTAACAGTTTTTGTCTTACATACCAACTTTAACACCTAAGCTCTGCATAAGTTATGAGCCCAAATCCCACTCTGCCACTTATTCTCTGTGCGATCATAAGTAAATCATTTAACGTCTCTGAGTCTGTTTCATTATCTAGTAAGATGGAGATAAACAGTATCATCTTTGTTGGGTTGTTACAAGGATCAACAAAGATAAAGCAGCTATGGAAGTAGACAAGTATCTCAGCACTTAGAGTCAGTGTTCATCAAGTATTTACTGTTATTAGCTCTAATTTTCAGATAAGAATATATATTCCACAGGCCTATCTCATTTTACGAAGGCTGAAACTAAGTCTCAAGGTCAGTAACTTTCCAAACTGAGTTAATTTTGACTCTAAAGCCAGAGAATATTCTAAGAATAAAGTCTCTAGGGTTTTTTTGGACCATGGACTCTTGAGAATTGGATGTAAACTATGAGTCCTCTTCCCAGAAACATACTTCAATACACATACAGTCTCTTACAGGATTCCAAGACTATGGTGTCCAGAATGCTTCTGTGAGTTAAGGGCCAAATGTGAAGAATTTTGAATGTCAAGGTGAGATGGTCTATTCTCCCCACCCTGCTTTGGCTCCTTCCCACAGCCTGGCACAGCCACTCAGCCATCATTTAATAACAGTACTGAACAGAGCGAGAAAATGATGCCTGGAAAAGCCCAGGGACTCAGCAACTAACACCACGACTGAGAGGCCCCAGGCTTCCAACATTACTGTAGCTATAGTTCTCCCTACAGCCCACACTCACAGGGAAGTTATAAATGAGCTTTAAAATAAAAAAGTATTACCCTAAATATAGGCAGCAAGGGATCCCACAGAACCAGTATTCCTTTGTAATCTTATGAAAGGCTCACAAAGTCAATTCCCTAACTGGGCAATTGTGAAATCTGAAGACGATGGCTGAAACTACACGAGTGGACTTTGGAGCTCTGTAGCAGCTTCCACTCAGCTACACACACAACTGACATATAATCATGAGAAATCAATTAAAGCAGGACCACCTTCTACTTGGTAATATTATTGCCCTAGCTTGAACCATCCGCATGTAATAAAATGGCATTTCCTGAGAAACATTCCATACACATTTCAATCAGTTTCTTCATGTATTAACAATGTCAATAATGGCAGCTGCAACACTGCAAAGGCAATGTAGCACAGATGGCTTTAACTTAAATCACCATACTCTAACTTTACACTTTGCAAGTTAGATATTTATTCCTATTTTAGAATGGAAAAGTGAGACTATCAAAGATTAAGTAACTTGATCAGACTATGAAAGATGAAGTAACTTGATACAAAGATAATCAGTGGTGAGGTTTCATATGCCAGCTATCTTGCTGGGTCACTTAAATAATGATAAATAGCTGCTTTACCAGTACCTGCTATGGGTCAGTCACTAAGCAAACATTATCTTTAATCCAATCAACCATGCAAAAAGATAAGCATTACCATAATCCCATTTTTTGGATGGGAAAACTGACAATGAAGTAAACTGACTTAAGCAAGGTTGCTGGTAAAGGGTATAGCAGAGAATGGTATGTGGTTTTCAATCAAGATGCATCTAGTTCTTTTCACTATACTCCAAGAGTAGAGGCTACATCTTCTTGGTGCCACCTCTGCCTCCCCCAACTTCCAGCAGAAAAGGGTGCTTATCTGGGGTACTCTAAGGTACCACCCACCTTCTCTAGCAGGGCCTTTCGTAGACGCCGCTCTTCTTGCACCATGATGAACATCTCCTTGTGCACAGCCGCCGCCAGGTTCAGGTCTAGCTTCTCAGGGCAGGCAGCCATCTTACAGATAAGCTCCTCATGGGAGAAGACGCAGTATCTTCGGAGCCGGCGGTAGTGCTCAATGCACTGGCGCCCAGCAGGCAACTGTGGGCAGGTTCAAGGTTGAGTGTGGCCAAGTCTGGATGCCATGATGTCCCAGCTTCTCCACAACCCTCCTGCTTCACCCCCGCCATCCCAACACATTCCAGACTCACCCAGTCGGCAGTGCAAAAGTTGACGGCCTCGGCAAAGTTGTAGCCTTGGTTGAAGCCACTGTGGTAAGCACGGGGGAAGGTGATGACGAATTCTCCTGCACACTGGTTTGTGCGGACAACCTGAAGAACAAGAAAGGCCATGGCTGTTGAGAGAGAATTTCCTGTATGCAGACCGGACTTAAGCACAAGGTTGTTAAGGAGACAAAGGAAAGCCTCAGGGGACAGTCTGACAATAGCATCTCAGACTCTCCAATTCTGAAATGAAGGACCACTGGTCTCTGCTCTCAAGGTTTTGATGTGTGTTGAGATGACAGGAATATTTGAGATTAAAAAATATATCTGTCAAAAATTTCAACTTCCTTAGTAATTTTTGCAAGAATTATAAATATCACTTTTCATTAAGCTGGACAAGCTTTTTTTTTTCCTGGGGGGGCAAAAACTTATTGCACTTTAGGTTTTGGGGTACATGTGAAAAACATGTAAGATTGTTGCATAGGTACACACATGGCAGTGTGGTTTGCTGCCTTCCTTCCCATCACCTACATCTGGCATTTCTCCCCATGTTATCCCTCTCCAACTCACCACCCCATGCTGTCCCTCCCCTATTTCTCCCCCTAGACCCCAGTGTGTGATGCTCCCCTCCCTGTGTCCATGTGTTCTCATTGTTCAACACCTGCCTATGAGTGAGAACATGTGGTGTTTGATTTTCTGTTCTTGTGTCAGTTTGCTGAGAATGATGGTTTCCAGGTTCCTCCATGCCCCTACAAAGGACACGAACTCA